AAAATTTAAACTTTTCTATATATAATGCGTTTTTGGCAACAAACTTATAATTATCCATTTGTTTCAGGAGGGAATAATAATAATAATAGTAATAACAGTAATAATATAAACATCAACAATAATACCCACGATTTAGAAATATTAAATAACACTACTTTAAATTTTGCACGTCCTCAATCACCATCTCATACCGCTTCAACAACTGCTACCCAAAAAAAAATACGTGAACTACCGAGGATTATTACCAATTTTTCTAAAATAAAATCATGGAATCTACATCAACAACAAAAAAATCAACAACAAAAAAATCAACAACAACAACAAGAACAACAACAAGAACAACAGCCACAACAATTACCGCAACCATTACAACCGCAGCCACAACTAAAAGATGAAGTGGAAAATAACTTGACTTCCAATAATAAAAACAACGACAACAATAAAAAGAGTAATAATAGACAGTCTGTACAATCAGTGAGATTTGCTTTGGACCCTAATCATTCAAAGAGACATCAAAAATCTGAATCAGACCATCATATAATTACTGATGTTAACAAAAAAAATAACAACAAACGATATAAAACGATGAGAAGGTCTTCTGCTCCTGTGACTGGATCATTAAATAATAGTATTGGCAATAACAACAACAACGACAACATCAACAACAACAACGACAACGACAACAACAAATTACCTTCAAAGACGGATTTATTAACTGGCAAAAAAATCAGAAAAGATTCCGAAGAAGATTCAAAGATTCCAACAGTAAATATTGAATCTATTGACAACAACAACAATGTATTATTATCATCTTCACCGCCACAACCACAAAATAATAATTACGTTAATGTTTCATCATCTGTTTCATCATCTTTGGATTCTAATGCTTGTTCACTATCTCCACCTTCCTTAACTCCTTCCTCCTCAGTGTCTTCTTTAAGCTCTTCTGTTGGTCAACTTAGTCCTTTTTTAGTAAACAGTAATCACATTAATAGCATCAATCATCATCATAATAATAATAACGAGAGAATATCTAATACAACAGTAACTACAAAACCAAAATTACCGCCATCTTCTTCATTAACTCCGGCACCGCTACCATCTTTAAATAATTTTAATCTGAGACCAAAATCAAAAAGTATTTCAACAGAAAATCCCTTCACATCCTACTCCTTACCTGATCGAGTCACTCCAGCTTCTTATGATGATGTGCCATGGTCGCCTGCTGTCTCATTTTTATCCAGTTTGGCTTCTGCAACTTCAATTTCCCCTTCACCCGATGACGAAGGTCAACAAGTTGGTGATTACGTTCTTGGTAAAATTATTGGTCGTGGTGGGTTCTCCACCGTAAGAGAAGGTTATACTATGGATAATTCATGTACAATGGAAAAAGTTGCAATAAAAATTGTCAAAAATAATCAAGAATGTGAAGATAATGATCATATACAGGTATATAACATGTTTATTATTATTATATATATATATATATATTTGTTATTACATGTATATATATATTATTAACACACGCGCACACACACATGTATTTTAATAGGCATTGCTTGAAAGAGAAATAGCAATTTGGCGAGAATTAAAACATCCAAATATAATAGAAATGTTTTCTGTCAAAGTAACAGAATATGCCACCTTTATCTTTTCTGAATTTTGCCCTGGTGGAACTTTATTACAATACATTAAAAATCATTCTAAAGCTTCTGGTAAAGGCTTGGACGAAGACGAATCACGTCATATTTTCTTGGAAGTGTCTAGTGCATTGAGATATTTACATAATGATATGAAATTGGTACACAAAGATATCAAGCTGGATAATATCATATTAGGTAAAGATGATACTTGGAAAATTTGTGATTTCGGTTTAACCGAATTTCAAAACCCTGAAGCCAATGGATTTTCTAACCTTGACGAGGTTGCTGGTGGTTCGTTGGCTTATTCTTCACCAGAACAATTAAGTTCAAAGATTACAATGATTTTTTTTTACCCGACACAAGACAGTACTTTTTTGATGAAATACTGATTTCGACGCGTACTAATATTTTTTTAAAAAATCCCGTCCTTTATAATAACTTGGTACAAAAACAATCGAGACTACCCAATTAGTAACCATTGTAATTGGTTGTTGTAATATAAATGATTATAGAAGGTATGACATTAGTTGGATCTATATTATACACTTTTACTAGCGAAAAATCATATCCTTGTTGTATTTTGATTTTCACAAAAGCCGGTCAATTTTCCCTCATAAACCAATTCAAATTAACAAGAAACTTCTCTGTTACGTTCTTATTAAGCATTGGTGTCGCGTGGACAGTTTGAATTGTATGTATCCAAACTAGATGAAATAATATTTGTCATGTATACATAATCAACCTCATTCATTGTACATGTTCAGATATACTTTTGCATCTATATTTTTTACACTCTTGTATCGTTTATAAAATTGCTTGAAATAAATCTCTTATAACCATGAACAATTTGGTTTTATTTGAAAGCTTGTATAAAAAAAATGACTAATTATTGGATAACAAAATATACTGTGATAATGTTGATGATATTTACGTAATGGAAGATTCTCAAACGAAGTTAAGCTTATGCCACTATCCTTATATGTAAAGTTTAATTCATCATTATAGAGTTGGTTGGCAACATTATTAGTAGGAGTGGGAGTGACAGAATAAGATTTTATTTTTAGATTTGTAGGTGTGAACGTTACACATAAGAAACTTTTCAATAACTTTTTAAGAGAGTTTTTAGCCGTTTTCTATATAGTTCATTTTTAGCTTTTTTTTTTTTTGAACTCGACCACGAAATGACTAAATCAAGTTTGAATACACCATTTTGCATTATTGGAACATCGGAGTGCACTCAGTTAAGGATCCCCATGCGAACTATTTATATAATAATGGTAGATTGGATCGGAAAAAAGGGAGTGGCCGGAAAAAAAATAACGCAAAGACAATTGGCCAGTCTATATGCCGAGATTCTGCTATTTCGCTAAGAGCACTTGGAACAAAGTTATCAAATAAAGGCTGTCAGGTTTCGCGCATGGCAATTTCGAGGTATCTTTTGGGTGGGTCTTGATTACAAAAAGAAGCTACCAAAAGCCAACCCGATGTTAACTGAAGACCACGATGAAAACAAGTAGAATGGTGCACAGAATCATCTGAATGACAACTGGAACAAACCCGTTTTTACTGATGAGACAGCTTTTCGGCTCTTTCGTAATGCAGTAGAACGCTGGTACAAGAGAGAACAGCCCACTCGTCGAATCCCAAAAGATCATCAAAAATCTTTTGCTTGGGGTGGCGGTTTTTTTATAAATTGGTAAAACTAGCCTTTTTTGCTTCACGAGAATAATGAATACGGAATTTTATGTCGAAATCCTGGAAAAACATATTCCAGAAATTCGTGAAATGATGGGAAGAAACTGGCGATTTCAGCAGGACAATGATCCTAAGCACACGAGCCGTCTTGCTAAGTCATTTCTTAGGGATAACGTTCCTCGACTAAAATGGACTGGCCCGCAAATATTCCAGACTTAAATCCCATTGAGAGAATTTATGGCATTTAGTCAAGACAAATGTAGAAAAGAGAATGCCAAATTGTGGGGATTTAATGCAATTTATGGTTAAGGAATGGAATTCCATCCCCAATAGCATATCAAGCAATATCAATGAGATAAAGATGTGAGCTAGTTATAGAAAGTAATGGTGAAAGAATACCATATTAAATTTTTGTCAAAGTCGTGTTGTATTTTATCACTTCAAATCACGTACATGTGGATACGTGTCATAAACCACGTTTCCTGTTTTTTTTTTTGTGTTAGATGCTTCATTGATAGATAAAAAAAAAGGATTATAGCTAACACCTTTTAATATATTGGTAACAAAAAATGATCTCTGAAACCATT